AAAACTACATACACAACTCCACTGTGGCACCCAAACGACCGATAACGACCAGATACGGGTGGCTCGATTCGAGTCACAAGACATGCGACATCTACGTAGTCCCTTTCAGCATGGACGTTTCGGTGCCGACATTGCCAAGTGTGCGGCGGGGAGGGGACGGGGCGCAGATCACGCGCGACACGGCGAAATGTCGCTCTCGCTTCGGCGACGAACCCAGGTGTGCCTGAGAAACGAGCTCCCGCTGGACCAGAAAACAAACGACACCCCCCCGCCTACGGCACCAGGGGCCTTAGCGTATACCAGGAAATCTGGCGTCGGCTCTTGCGTGGTTTGCGCTACGGCGCCCGATGGGCCGTAGCGCAGCATGGAAGGCCGTAGGTAGGGTGGTGTCGTCTGGTTTTCGGTCGAGCCCGCTTCGGCGCGGCGCCGATCCATCGACGCGCAAGCCGACGGATACTCAAGGGGCCCTGGGGCACACAAATGAATACACACAAATAACAGAATTTCCTATCGTTTCCTATATTTCCCCGATTCTTGTCTTCCCCCCACTTCCAATATTGTTCCATACTTTCTAAAGAATCGACGATTCATTGTGTCTGTGTGCTCTCTTCCCTCCTGAGATGTGCCGTCCTCGCCCTGGCGTCGAGCTGCTCTCCCGTGAGAGTGGCGCTCCCGCCACCCGTGCGTTGCGCAGCACCGTCGCCCGCGCACTCCTCTTGGGGGTGCGGCCGCGCGCGTGCAGGCCCGACTTGTCGCCCTGACTACTACCTACCAGACCACCCCAACCCAACCCGAAGACCCGAATTTGACCCGAATTTCGGGTTGGGGGGGGTACGGGTTCCATGAATTGTTTCAATGTTCTCCGACCCCCCTCCACTGGAAATCGAAAATAATTTTGGGCCTTCGGGTTGGGTTGGGGTGGTTTGGTGGGTGGTGACGCTCTCGATCGTGCTCCGACCGCACCTGCCCGCCCAGAAGCGGCGCTCTCCCGCGTGGGCCTCGCGCGCCATTCGCCTACCGCGCCGCCCAAAAAAACCGGCAGCGGAAGCTGGGCCGCAGGAAAGCGAACGAAAAACGGCGCCCTCGCCCAGGTCGGGGAGACGTACAGTCGGGGCCTTGACCTAAGGAACCCTAAATAAGGAACGAGGCCCCTTTTTTTCCATAAATTGAACTGCGATTTCATATCGAAAACCTAAGGAAAATCTGAGGCAAGCTGCGAAACAATTAAGGAACGCCGAGCCCCTCCCCAACGAAAATGGTTCCTTCTTCAAGACCCCTACTGTAAGCCTCGGGTTCGGGAGACTCGGGCTGGCCTGACGGGGCCATCAATGAAAATGACGAGACCCAATCTGAGATTTGACGCGAACGCCGCCTGCAAACACCCCACGAACACCGAACCGTCAAAATCCAGGACGCCCTCGTCAAAAAACGCCTGCAAACCCGAGTTCAGGCTTACTCGAGTCGTGCGTTTCCCCGACCAGGCGCCGCGCGGAGCATGTTGTGCTCGCGCAGTGCTGCTCCGGCGCGGCGCATGCACCACCGCCGCCCTCATCGAAATTTGGCCGCCCCAGTGAGGGCTAACTGGTCGCAACGCCGTGGAGAAGTTGTTTGAACTTCCGCTCTCGCGCATGCGCGGCTCGCGTTTCTCCTCCTCGCCAGGTCGTCCGAAGCAGGATCGCGCGCGAGCGCCTCCCGCTCGCTAGATGGGAACGCGTTGCAATCCAAGTGTCAATTTGTGCCACCATTGAATTTCATATTTTGGGAGGGCAGGAAAGGCTGGGGCCCGCAGACTAGTTCGAATTGGCTAACATGGCTCATACTGTCATACTCCTCCTACTGATCCTCCTCCTCCTTCTACTCTTCCCTCTCCTCCGCTTCCTGTGCCTCCTGCACAGACAATAGGGGTGGCTGCCCTCGGTCCATCCTGCTCCAATTCCTCCTCGCCCAACTCCTCCTGCTCCTTTCATCCAATTCATCCGTCCTGCTCCTCGCTCCTCGCTCCTCGCTCCTCGCTCCTCGCTCCTCGCTCCTCCTCCTCCTCCTCCTCCTTCTCCTCCTCCTCCTCCTCCTCCTCCTCCTCCTCCTCCTCCTCCTCCTCCTCCTCCCGCTCCTCGACTCCATCCCCACCCTGCACCCCACCTCCCGCTTCCCCCGCGCCCTCCGAGGTCCTCGAAGGCCCACTCCGGCAGCGCCAAGCCGCCCTGCCCGCAGACCGCGGCCCGGTAGGCGCGCATGTAGGGCTCCAGTCTCCTCGGCGCCCCCCGGCACAGCGCACGGGCCCCGGGCTCCGGGCCCCGTGCAGCTGGCCAAGGAGATCCGACGTCTTGCAGACACTGCAGGCACGACGGCATGTGAAATCACGACTGGAGACCCAGAGATCCAACGTATTGAAAAAAAATCCAGACGGGCGTTTGTTGCAATTTTCGGCCTTTGGGGGCCCTCACCGGGCCTCGAGGCCATCAAAAAACGACTCAGGATGAAAAATCGGTCCTGGGGAAGTGGTCGAGGCTTCCGGGGACCCCGCATTGAAAAAATCACGACGTCGGATCTCTGGGGACTTCACCCTTCCTGCGCCGTGTTCCGAGCCGGATTCGGCTATACGCAAGAGTGACCCTGGGTAAGAGTGACTGACCTTTGGTGCGCGACTTTTTGGGGGCCGCGGGGGGACCAAACCTGGGCGCGCAAGCAGCTGCAGCTGCCTCGTTTTCAGCCATCTGGGGACCCATCCGTGCCCGCACCAAAGGTCACTCCGGCGAAAGGTCACTCTTACGTCTAGTCGACGGATACCGGCCTATGACGCCCCCCCCGGGGAGGCCGAAGACGGGGGCGAAGGAGAGCGCCCGTGCTGTGAAGCACGTGCGGCGCCCCGATCGCAGGGCCCCCGCGCGCACCGCGGCCGATAGAGAGGCCTTCTCGAAGGCGGCTGGGCTCCTCAAAGTTGGAGCCCCCGGGGCCCTCGAGGACCTCGCGGATGGCGCTCTCCTTGGAGATCCGCGCCCGGGGCCAGAGGTGCACTTCTGGCAACGCCCCGCAGGTGGCTCCTGCCCAGATCCCTCCGACCTCGTGAATCTCCCACGACGTCGACCCCCAGGGGTCTGGACCCCTTCCCCGGAGCCGGTGCCTCATCCCGAATTCGTCTGTGACGCTTCCGGGGCCCGGCAAGGGACCTCGGAGGCCCAAAATTGAAGGGGCCCTGGGACACACAAATAAATACACACAAATAAAAAGATTCCCCATACTTTCCTATGCTTTCTCGGTTTTTGTCTTCCCCCCCACTTTCCATATTTTCCCATATTTTCCTGGGAATCGACGATTCATGGTGTCTGTGTTTTTTCCCCTCCTGAAAAATACTCCAGATTTCGTAATAAAAGGGAGGGGGTCTAGACCCTCCAAGACAAGCCATTTCAAACCCCCCCCGTGGGAGAACCCCAGGTCCTCCAAGATAGCCTGGAAGAGACCCCCCCCGAAATGAGACCCCCCTCCCTCTATTACGAAATCTGGAGTAGCGAGAAACCTCTGGCGTCGTGACTTTCTCACCGCGCGAAGGGGGGCTGGGTGGGCCCGCCGCCCGCCGGCCGGCGGCCGGCGGGCGCGTTGGCCGCGACGGTCGGCGGGGCTCGCGCCAGCTCGCGGGGCGCCCGCTGTCGCTCGCGTGGTCTGCGTCTTCGCTTAGGTCGGGCCTGTCCCCCTGCAGGCGGATTTCGGACGACGAATCAAACATACTCCAGATTTCGTGATAAAAGGGAGGGGGTCTGGACCCTCCAAGACAAGCCATTTCAGACCCCCCCCGTGGGAGAACCCTCCAAAACATCGTCCCCAGACCCCCCCAGGCCCTCCAAGATAGCCTGGAAGAGACCCCCCCAAATCAGACCCCCCTCCCTTTATTACGAAATCTAGAGTACACAAAGACAAAACAAAACACGGGAAGCTGTCGACACCTGTTCACAAAAACGTCCCCTAAACCATTGTTTTACGATTTTGGAGTACTCCTCCTGCAGAAGGACACGCACGAATTAGATGTCTGGGGCAGCCTCGGACACCTGCCCAAGCGGCCCGAAGCCTTCTCCGAGCCTTCCGAGGAACTCCGCCCAAGACATCCCTGACCTTCCAGGGAGTGTTAGACAGAATCGCCCTCCAGACCTGCGGACCTGAATTTGGACTGCCGAACAACCACGACGGGAATCGAGGTATCGAGGCTATGGGGCAATTTCCTTGGCCCTCCTGGGAAAGTCAGGGATACTGTCGCCCCTGCCATCGCAGCCGATCCCAGACCCCCGGGGTCATGATTTGGTCATGACGTTGACCGTCATCCCGAGCCGTTTTCTGACGGTTCTACGGCCCGTCATGAATTTGTCATTGCTCTTGGCTCTCGCCTACGGGGAGGCGAAGGACGAAGAGGAGGAGGAGGGGGAGGAGGAGGAGGAGGAGGAGGAGGAGGAGGGGAGGAGGTGGAGGAGGAGGAGGAGGAGGGAGAGGAGGGAGATTGAGGAGGAGGGGAGGAGGAGGAGAGGAAGAAGGAGAAGGAGAAGGAGAGAGGAGGAGGAGGAGGAGGAGGAGGAGGAGGAGGAGGAGGAGGGGGAGGGGGAGGGGGAGGAGGAGGAGGAGGAGGAGGAGGAGGAGGAGGAGGAGGAGGAGGAGGAGGCGGAGGCGGAGGAGGAGGAGAGCCACAGGCTGAGGACAGTCGTTGGACATGAAAACGACCCATTAGCCCTGAGTGCCGCACTGCTTGGCAGCAGGAGCAGCCTAACCTCCACGAGGGGGCGTAAGGACACACACACACACAAATAACAGGATTCCCCCCTAGATCTTCCCATGTGTTCAAGGTTTTTTGTCTTCCCCCCCGCTTCCCATGCTTTCCCATGTTTTCAGGGGATCGACGATTACTGCTGAGCACAAGGAGCAGCCTGACATCTACCAGGGAGATGACCTTAGTGGGCCCCGGAAACGGCAGGGGCCCATTTGTTCACTGTTTCCGAAAATGTGCCCCTTGGAAATGGAAGCGGCAACAAAAACCGCGACCGGAAGCGGCAACAAAAACGGCTCCAGGATTGGAACCGGATCGGGACGCCCGTACAAAAACGGCGACAGAACCGGTAAGAAACCGGCGTCGGAACCGGCAGAATACCGGCAAGACGGAACCGGTTAAAAAACGGCCCTATCGTTTCCAGGGCCCACTAAGAGCCTGACATCTACCAGTGAGATGACTACCTACCAGACCACCCCAACCCAACCCGAATGCCCGAATCTGACCCGAACTTCGGGTTGGGGGGGGGGGGTACGGCGTTCCATGTGTTTTTTTCAATGTTCCCCGACCCCCCCCTCCACACTGGAAATCGAGGAGAAATGTGGGCCTTCGGTCCTCCTCCTCCTCCTCCCCCTCCTCCTCCTCCTCCTCCTCCTCCTCCTCCTCCTCCTCCTCCCCCTCCTCCTCCTCCCCCTCCTCCTCCTCCTCCTCCTCCTCCTCCTCCTCCTTCTTTGGGCAGCGCGCTCGGGGCCGGCGCGCCGACCCCCCGAGGCGGCGCGACGGCGCCGGGCACCCCCTGCGCCGCGTGGCGCGCAGGCGGTGCAGCAGGGCGGGGCCAGGCAGCACGACGTTCAGCAGCTCGTCGACGGAGCCGAGCACCCCGACCCAGACCTCCTCGAGTCATGAAAAAATCACGACGGGAGGTTTTTCGCTATTTTCGGCATCTGAGGGCCCTTACCGGGCCTCGGGACCGTCAAAAAACGACTCGGGATGAAAAACCGGTCCCGGGGAATGGGTCTGGACCTCTGGGGGTCGCGTCATGAAAAATTCATGACGTCGGGGGTCTGGGGACGGTGACCATCTCACGGAAACCGGCACCAGCTGCCTCTCAGCCACGAGCGAAAAGAGCCATGCGGCGGGAAGCGCCTCATGGAGCAGCACGTCCGGGACAAGCACCTCCACGCTGAGCAGCACGACGGAGTCGAGCACCACGAAGTTGAGCAGCACGGCGGGCTCAAGCACCACCGAGTCGAGCACCGCGACGTTGAATGGCGCGACGGGGTCGAGCACCACGACGTTCAGCAGCGCGACGGGATCCATCGCCGGCAGCCCCCCATCTACGAGCATGATGCCGACCTTTTTGAGCGCAGCAGCGCGACGGCGTCGAGCACCACGACGTTTAGTCGCGCGGCGGGCTTCAGCACCAGCAACCTCACACCTAAGAGCGAGACGAGCAGCGCGACGAACACCGCGTCTTTGAGCAGCACGTCAGGGACCAGCACCTCAACACGGAGCAGCACGACGGAGTCGAGCACCGCGAAGCTGCGCAGCTCTGCGGGCACGAACGACCAAACCGAAAACCGCGTCCTTGAGCAGCATGACGGGACCGAACCCCACGACGCCGAGCAGATTTACGGGACCCGACGCCGGCAGTCTCACGCCGACGAGTGAGACGAACAGTGATAATTGACATTCTGGAACATATCCCTATCCCTATGCTGGGCACCTCCTCATCACGATGTCAATCTTAGGGATGCCCTTATTTTTGAAGGCGAATCCCTAAGATTGACATCGCCTTTTGGCGTGTCAATCTTAGGGATAGGGATACGTTCGAGGCTGGTAAGATAAGGGAACCACGTCTTTGAGCAGCACGTCTGGGACAAGCAACGCAACATTGAGCAGCGCGACGGCGTCGAGCACCACGACGTTGAGCAGCGCGACGGTATCGGTATCCAGCACCAGCAGCCTCACACCATAAGCGTAAGACGAGCAGCGCAACGAACACCGCGTCTTTGAGCAGCACGTCCGGGATCAGCACCTCCACACTGAACAGCGCGACGGGGTAGAGCACCACGAAGTTGAGCAGCACGGCGGGTTCCAACGACCGAATCGAGCACCACGTCCCTGAGAAGCATGACGGGGCCGAGCACTACGACGCTGAGCAGAACGACAGGACCCAACACCAGCAATCTCACACTCACACCGACGCGTGAGACGAACAGTAATACGGGCACTACGTCTTTGAGCAGCACGTCCGGGACAAGAACCACAACTTTGAGCAGCGCGACGACGTCGAGGACAACAACGATGAGCAAAACGACGGGATCAAGGGCGGAAAAGCTGAGCACCACGACGTTGAGCAGCACGACGGAGTGAAGCACCACGACGTTGAACAGCACGACGGGATCAAGCACCAGCAGCCTCCTCACATCTACGAGCGAGACGACGAGAGCAACGACGACAACGTCCTTGACCACGAGGTGGTCAGGCACGAGCGAGTCGAGAGTCGTGCACCACGTCTTCGAGCAACAAGACGGACTCGAACACCAGCAGCCCCATATCTAGCAACACCAAGTTTCAACAAGCAGCGCAACGAGCACCACGTGTTTGAGCAGCACGTCTGGGACCAGCACCTCTGCACTTGGCAACACGACTGCCACGAATGGGAGGAGTTCCCGCCCCGAGTACCGCAGCACGACTGCCCGCGAATGGGACGCGTACGACCGCTACCATCACGCCGCTGAACACCTCGACCGGCTCCAGCCGCGAATCGGTGAGCAGCACACCAGGGAGAAACAGCTCGACCCTGACAACCACGACTGGGGCGAGTACTCCACTTTACTCGCACCTCGACGCAGGGCACAACGGCGGGCACCAGCAGCCCCAGCAGCACATCGCTGAACAGCACGATCGGGAGCACCATCGCCTCAACGTCCACTCGCTGGACGGGCACTGCCGCGAGCACCGCGCCGTCTAGCTCCACGATGGGCACCAGCGCCTTGACGACATGCACGTCGGGGAGCGCCTTGACGACATGCACGCAGGGGGGATGCCCCACGGCGGCGCATCTCTTCGCAGGGCGCCGAGGAGTGCACTCCAACCCATGCTTAAAGCCATCGCCTCACTCCGCACGGTGGCACAGACGGGCTCCATAGCGGACTGATCACCGCCGACTGTCCCTTTTTTCCAGCCGTGTGCCTGCAGTCGTCCGCGTCAGGGGGGAGGTCACCCGACCAGGCACTGTTTCGCATGCGGCGCCTACCGTATTGTTAGCGCGGGTCCGCCTTGAGCACGAGTGGCGCGAGGGCCCGGACAGTGACTCAGTCCGAAGTGGTGCGCTCTCCATCCCTCCGTTCCCGCTGCCCCCCCCCGCACCCCAACCTTCCTCCTGGCTCATTTCCTCCCCTCCTTCATCCCTCCCTTCCAGCCCTCCACCCCTCCCCTAACCCCTCGTTCGTCCTCCTCTCCTCCTCACCTTCCTCGTCCTCCGCAATCCCCCTCCGCTCTTCTCCATGCGTCCCACCATCTGCTCCCTCCCACCCACCTGCCCCCACTCTCTCCTTCGTCCCGCCTCCCTCTCTCCCTCCCAGACCCCCTTTCCCCTCACCGGCTCCCTCCCCCTCCTCCCCCATCACCCGCCTTCTATCTCCCCCCTAGGGCGACAAAAAAGTACCCATACCGATAATCCCCAGCCCCTTCCTGGGGTGCGTTCCGACAACAAATCCGAAGCGAATCCAACCGTGACGACGAGGGCCTCCCAGGAGGTCCACACTGGCGAACACGACTGGAGGGTCGCGGCATCGGCGCCTCTTCATCCTCTGAAAACCCCCTCCCGAAGGCGCACGCCGGGGCCCGCGGCTCCCCAGCTGCTCGCTGCTGCCGTAGCAGAACTCCGACACGATCTTGCTGTCGCAATGGTCCAGCGCGTCCGTCTCGTGGCAGAACGCGTCCGGGGCGGGCGCGCGCCGGCCGTCCAGCGACGCCGCCGGGCTGGGCAGGCTGTCGGCCCCCGACGGCGGGGGCGGGGTGGCCTGCCGTGGAGCCTCGCCGCAGGACGTGGCCCATTCGACTGCGCAGGAGGCAGATATGCAGTGCACAGCACCACCGTGCCAAGGCCAGGGGACGCTGCGGGCGCTGCCACTTCTGTCCACGCCTCGCGCTGTGGCCCAGCTTCGGGCCCTGGGGACCTCGCAGATCCTCCTGCTCCTCCTCCTCCTCCTCCTCCTCCTCCTCCTCCTCCTCCTCCTCCCCCTCCCCCTCCCCCTCCTCCTCCTCCTCCTCCTCCTCCTCCTCCTCCTCCTCCTGGCTCAAGGGGTCCAGGACTCTGGTTGAGTTGTTTCACGCCGCTGCATCTGTCACTGCGTCAGGTCTCAGGGATGCACGGGGCATCTAACACCACCGCCATGTCAGGCCAGGACAATCCCAGACCGGCTATACGCAAGAGCGACTCTGGGCAAGAGTGGCCGTTGGTGCCAGACCTTCGGGGGGACGAGGGGAGGCCGAGCCCACGCGCGCGAGACGCGGCTGTCGCATCGCGCTCGGCCATCTGGGGACCCAGGTGTGCCCGCACCAGAGGCCATTCTGGCCAAAGGTCACTCTTACGTGCAGCCGACTGGGATCCCAGCGCTCGGGGGCGTCCAAGAAGGGAGCCTCCAAGAGGGGGGGGCGCAAAGCATGGCTGGCGGCAGGTGCGCGGCCCTGTGGGGGGGTCCGAGGACGCAATCAAAGATGGGGAGGCGCCATGAGATCTGCGGCAATATCGTGGCCCGCGCCAGGATATCAACCCCTCCCCCTCCTCATCCTCCTCCTCCTCCTCCTCCTCCTCCTCATCGTCCTCTTCTCCCCTCCTTCTCCTTCGCCTCCTCCTTCTCCTCCGTCTCCTCTCTCCTCCTCTCCTCTCTCCTCCTCTCCTCCTCCTCCGCCTCCCTCCTCCTCCTCCTCCTCCTCCTCCTCCTCCTCCACCTCCTCCTCCTCCCTCCCTCCTCTCCACCTCTCTCCCTCTTCACCCTCCTCCTACCTCCTCCTCCTCCTCTCCTCCTCCTCCTCCTCCTCCACCTCCTCCTCCCCTCCTCCCCCTCCTCCCCTGCCCTGCCCCCTCCCTCCCTCCCAACCCACTGACAGTCAACACTTCCTCCCCCCTCCTCGCCTCCTCGTCCCTCCTCCTCCACCTCGTCTCCTCTCCTCCACCCCTCGCTCATCCCTCCTCCTCCTCCTCCTCCTCCTCCTCCTCTCCTCTTCCCCTCGTCTCATCCCCTCTTCCTCCTCTCGCTCCTTCATCCCTCATCCTCCCTCCACCCTCTAGTCGACCCCCTTCCTTTCCTCCTCGTCCTCTATCTTCCCCCTCCTCATGATCCTCCTGCTCACCTGCCTCCTCCGCTCCCCTCCTCCTCCTACTCCTACCTCTCCTCCTCATCCTCCTCCTCCTCCTCCGCCTCCTCCTCCTCCCTCCCCCTCCTCCACGTCCGCCCCCTCCCCTCCTCCTCCTCCCCTCCTCCTCTCCTCCTCCTCTACCTCCTCCTCTTTCTTCCTCCTCCTTCTCCCTCCTCCTCCCCTCCCACTGACAGTCAACCCATTCCTCGTCCTCCACTCACTCATCCTCCTCCTCCTCCACCTCCTCCTCCCCTCCGTCCTCCTCAACCTCCCTCCTCCTCACACCACCTCCTCCCTCCTCGTCTCAGTCAACCCATTCCTCCTCCTCCCTCCCCCTCCTCCTCCTCCTTCCTCCTCCTCCGCCCCTCGCTTCTCCTCCTGCGCCTCCTGCTCCTCCTGCTCCTGCTCCTCGTCGCTCCAGCTCCTGCTCCCTGCCCTGTTCCAGCTTCCGGCTTCGCCTACTCCTCCTCCTCCTCCACCTCCTCCTCCTCCTCCTCCTCCACCTCCTCCTCCTCCTCCTCCTTCTAGCCACCACCACCCTCTTGGCCGCCCCCGAAGCAAGTTGCACACGGCCTCCCGGCCGGGGCCAGGAGGCCCTGCGCACGTGCACGCCGCCCTGGGGGCCCAGGCTCGCCCCCTGACCTGGCGTGGCGGTGGCGCCGCGGCCCTCGCCATCGCTCGGACGTCCACTCCCCGTGCATTCCCTGAGACTTCGTGCGCGTACGTTTCGCGGGAGGCTCCAGGATGCTTCTCGAGGGTCCTCGCCGAGGAGCACATGCACACGTCCGAGCGATGCCAGGAGGAGAGGAGGGGCCTCTGGTGCGCGGCCGGCCGACCGTCGGCCGCGGCCCTGCGCGCGGCAGCGCGGGAGCTTTGCCGCGCCGGTGGGAGGCAGCGGGCAGAAACAGGAAGGCAGGAAGGCCTCCTCCTCCTCCTCCTCCTCCGCCTCCTCCTCCTCCGGCCTCCTCCTCCTCCTCCTCCTCCGCCTCCTCCTCCTCCTCCTCCTCCTCCTCCTCCTCCTCCTCCTCCTTCTGTCGAAGTACCCAGAGATCCGAGGAGGGGTTTACTTTCCAGCCCGCCGATGTTCCTGGAATTGTCGGCCTCCAGGGGGCCCCTCCTCGGGCCCATGGGGCCAGCAAGCACGGATCTCGGAGGGAGCAACCCCCCCCGGGGGGAGGGGGCAAAAGGGGCCTCCGGGGCCGCGGGGGCCTCTGGGGAAAGGGGGAAGGGGCCTCTGGACCCCCGGGGGAAGGGGGAAGGGGGCCTCTGGGCCCCCGTGGGAAGGGGGAAGGGGCCTCTGGACCCCCGGGGCAAGGGGGAAAAGGGGCCCCTGGGGCCGCGGCTGGAAAGGAAGTCAGAGGTCCGGGCAGATGGGGTCCCCGCCAGCCCCCGCAGAGGACGGAGGAGGGACAGCCGCTCGACGCTCGAGAAGCAGGGGGGCGCCCCCAAAAAGAGATTGGGCTCCGGATGTTCGAAACATACATAATTCATACAGAAAAAAACAAACCTACCTCGCTTTTGACCACCCTCGCTTCCAAGAGATACCAAACGATGCCAAATTGCAGCCTGTACTGGTCAGGCCGCTTGACGAGGAGGCGCGTGATATGGCTTGGTTTTGCCTGGAAGCGAAAGCGGTGTAGGTACTTCACACTCTGAATTCAACGAGCAGCGTGTTACATGCCGGATGGCGTGTCTCCCCGTTTCCAAATTTTCCGCGTTCGGCCAGCCAAACCGCGGGACAAAAAAAACGGCGGCCCAACGCGGCAAACAGAAACAGCTGATCCCCCCCAAACGGACGAAGCCCACAGAAAAACCGTCGCTCTGGCGAGCGGAATTCGGACGCCCCCCGTGGTGCTGGCGTCCTGTGGCGGGCTCCGGAAACCCTGAACCCCCAAATGATGACATCTGGTCGTCTCTTGCGGGAGCAGATCTTATTTCCGCCGGCTTCCGCCAGCCGAAGCCACCGCCGTGTTCTACCTCCGCAGCCCTCCGCCGCCTCCCCCGTGAGGGACAGCGACGGCACCTCCCTCGGCCCTCGAGTCATGTTGCTCCCATCGTACTTGAGGACCGCAGCCCAGAACGAAGCTCGAGCACCCAGAGAAGCACCGAAGCGGCGTCGAACGAGCACCGCCCCGCAGGGCCCGGGACACGAAAGCCCTCCAGCCTCGGTACCCTCTTGGTGCTCGACACGCTTTCTGGCGATCAAGGCCAAGGTAGGTTGGATCATCCTAACCTTATGTCGGGCGTGTCCCCCTACAGGGGGATTTTCGACGAAAGAAAGAATACCCAAAAATACCCCAGAAAGGCATGTAAGAAAATACTAGAAAAATAATCCTCAGACTATTGTTGGACGATTGTTTGATTATTTTTGGACTATATGTGAGACATGTTTTATTTCTTGTCGTAAATCCCCCTGTGTCTGGGGGACAGGCCCGACTTAAAGGTAGGTTGGATCACCATAACCCTCGAGGGCAAAGAGGCCCTCTCCTGGAGACGCCTCTCCTCGCCGCCGTCTCCTGCCTCCGCCGCCCTCCGCCGCCCTCTTCGCCCCGAGGGAGCGACAAGACAACCCTGAAGTGGCCCAGGGACACACACAAATAAACACACACACACACACACACAAAATACCAACATTCCCCATAGTTTCCCCATATTCTCTGGATTTTCGTCTTCCCCCCCACTTCCCAGATGTTCCCATCTGTTCCTAGGGATCGACGATTCATGTTTCCCCTCCCGAAGCCCCCTCGACCCTCGAAGGCAAGAGGGGCGCCTCCCCTCGCCGCCGCCTTCTGCATCCGCCGCCGTCTCCGCCGAGGACGATGGCACCTCCCTCGACCCTCGAATTGGGTCGGGCACGTCCTCCTACGGGCGGGTCCTGGAGGCAACTTCTACGATAGCCGAGAACCGCTCAGAAAGAATCCAACTGGTCGACAAAAACGTCCCCTGACTATTTTCCGACGGTGCCTCGCGTTGAGAGGGACAGGCCCGACTTCACCCTCGAAGGCAGGGCCCTCCCTCGGCAAACGCCCCTCCCGGCGCCCCGGGCCGCGCCGGCCCGCGGGGCGCCGCGCACCAGAGGCCCCCCCCCCCCCGCGAGCGAGGGGCCGGGGGCGACGACGTGGGCGCACGAGCGCCCAGGAGAGTAACACGAGCATCCGTCGGCGCCGACGGTCCAGGTCTGCGGTGCGGGCGGGCGGGTGCGGCGGCAAGGGGGCGGAGGGGTAGAGGAGGAGGAGGAGGAGGAGGAGGAGGAGGAGGAGGAGGAGGAGAGAGTGGGGGGGAGATTCGGAGGAGGGACGAGGCGAGAGGAGAGAGGAGAGCAGAAGTAGAGCAGGAGAAGAGAAGGAGAGGCGGAGGAGAGAAGGGAGAAGAGAGGAGTGCCCGCCCCTTGCCATCGCCCCCCTCGTCGCCCCCGAGGGGGGGGGGGGGGGGGGGGCACCGTCTTGCGGCGCGGCCGGGGCGTGCCTGGGCGCGGTCGCCGCCGAAGGGCGCCACGAAGGGCGGCGCCCTGGCGCCGAGGGGCCCGCCGGCCAGAGCGGCGACGGAGCCCCTGCGCAGGAGCGGAGGGGGGAAGCGGCACCACCACTTACCCGCCTCGAACTGATCCCTATCCCCAAGATTGGCACGCCAAGAGGCGATGACAATCTGAGGGGTGCGCCCTCAAAAAATGGGGGAATCCCCAAGATTGGCATCGTGGTGGGGAGGTGCCCAGCACAGGGATGGGGATCTGTGCCAGGCTGGCAAGCCACCACCGCCAGGGGACCGCCCCGGGCGGCGGCGGCGGCAGGGAGCGCAGGGGAGGCGCACCAGCCAGAGAGACACCAGCACCGAGCCTGGGCCCAGGGCCACCCCCGGGCCCAGCATCGGGGCGTGGACGCCCTCCTGCCTTTTTTCGGGTCGGGCGACAAGGGGGGCTATAGCGAAGGGGGGGGGTATTGAGAATCCGCTCGCGTGGCTGATTTTCTGGGCGCCTCCCGGCGCCGGGAGGCGCCCATGCATCCAGGAAAGTGGGCCCGGCGGCGGGGCCGAAACCAGCTGCACGCAGCAGATTTCGTACCCCCCCCTTCCCAATCCCCCCCTTTCGCCTGGCCCGACGTTTGGGCAGAGAATGCACCTACCCCGATCCTGGGCCCAGGATCGGCCTGGCCGGGAGCGGTGTAGGCGCCTAGCTTTAAGTCGGGCGTGTCCCCCTACAGGGGGATTTTCGACGAAAAATAAAACATACTCCAAACATACACCAAAAAACAATCCAAAAATAGTCTGGGGACTATTGTTTGAATTTTGTTTCACCTTTTTGGTGTATTTTGGAGGTATTTTAGGGGGACACGCCCGACTTAAGCCTAGCTCGTGCCCTCCGAGAGCAGGGCCTCCCTTGCTGGTGTAGCCGCCTTTCCCAATCCCCCCCCTTTCGCCTGGCCCGACTTTTGGGCAGAACATGCACATCCCCCTTTATCCATTGGCCCAGGATCAGCCTGGCTGGGATCGGTGTGGGTGCCCTCCGAGAGCAGGGCTCCCACGGGGGAGGAGGAGGAGGAGGAGGAGGAGGAGGAGGAGGAGGAGGAGGAGGAGGAGGAGGGAGGAGGAGGTGGTGTCGCCGCCCTCCCCCACTGAAGCGTGCGAGGCGCAATTGCCCCGGCCCCCGCCCTCGGGGAGGCCTCGCGGGGCCGCCTCGCCGAGGGGTGGGCGCCCCTGGGCGTCGGGGGGGGAGGGGGGGGCGTGCGGGTGGGGCAGGGGCAGAGGCGGGCCTGGAGACGAAGCGCTCTAAACGGCAACTGCAGAAACTGAAGAAGAAGAAGAAGACGAAGAAGAAGAAGAAGAAGAAAAATAATAATAATACTAATAATAATGATGATACTCATAAGAATAAGAAGAAGAAAAAGCAGAAGGGGAACATGTGGGCGTCCAGCCAGGTTCGCTCCCTGCCCCCACCCTGGGACAGCCCCACCTTTACGGATCCCCGGTGGCGGTGGCGGTGGTGTCGCTTCTCCCTCCCCCGACCTCACCGGGGAGGTGGGTGGCGAGGGCGACTTCGAGGGGGACGCCTTCCTGGACATGCCCTTGCCGTCCACCTGTAGGAAAAATATTTGGCGGCGCGCAGAGGGGGATAGGGGGAAGGAGAAGGCTTCTTAGAAGGATGCCGCTTCTTAGAAGGCGCGGGGCCTACATCTACAGGCGAGGCCCACGCCTTCTAAGAAGCAGGGGTGCTTCTGAGAAGCCTTCCCCCCTCCCCCCACCCCCCTCTGCGCGTGGCCGAAAAAATAATGGCGCAAGCACTTTTTCTCCAAGGTCCGAGCGGATTCCTCGGATCGGCGCTGGGCCTTCCCCTCCCTGGCGCACGGAGCTCGCCAATGGCGGCGCCGGAGACGCCGCCAGGGGGGGGCCCAGCGCATGATGGACCTGTTTTCCACCACCACCACAATAAGCTGGATGGGGGGAAGGAGGCGGAGAACGACGAGGAGGAGAACGACGAGGAGGAGGAGGAGGAGGAGGAGGAGGAGGAGGAGGAGGAGGAGGAGGACCCCCTCCCCCTCCAACTGATGGTGGTGGTGGTGGAAAACAAGCACATCAACGCAGATGCCAGAAATCCGCGAGGGCCTCCGAGAAGTCATGCGTATGCCGTGGTGTGCTCTTCGGGCCCCCTCGGCAGCGCGCACGGAGGGGGCGGGGGGGCGCGCCAGGGGGGCGGCATGTCCGAGCAGGGGGGGGCTTCGAAGAGGACTCCGAAGCGATTCTGGAGGAGTAGTAGGAGGAGGAGGAGGAGGAGGACAAGGAGGGGGAGGAGGGGGAGGAGGAGGGGGAGGAGGAGGAGGGGGAGGAGGAGGAGGAGGACGAGGAGGAGGAGCAGCAGCAGGAAGAGGAGCAGGAGTAGGAGGGGAGGAGCAGGAGCAGGAGCAGGAGGAGCAGGAGGAGCAGGAGGCGCAGGACAAAAATGAGAGGAGGGGCAAGCTTTACCCCCTGCCGAGAGAAGCGGGTGGAGTGGGGAGGATCAAACCTAGAGTCGCCCCGTGCCTTCTACTACAAAGCCCTCACACACACACACCCAAAAAAGAGCGCTCCCCCCTCGCGCAACCCCCGTGGCGCGAGGCGCCGCCGACCACCATCGGCACGGTCTTCCACCTCAGGTTCCGCAGGTGCCCCACGAGGTCCCCGTCGGGGGCCTTGATCACCCCCGCGGCCGTGAGCGTCTCGAAGACGGGGCGGTTCATGCGGCAGAAGATCACCTGGCAGCCGCGCTGCCTCGGCGAGTCCCGGGGCCCCGTTGGCAAAGCACACCCTCTCGTGAAAGCACGTCCCCGGACCAGACCAGGCGGGCGCAGACCCGCCGAAAAGTCCGACCGCGACGCTCTCCCGGGAACCTCGAGTGGGCCATTCGCGACGCTCTCCCGAGAACCTAGGGTGGGCAATTCGCCCAATCGACCCGGCAGGGAGGGGGGGTTCCACCAGCCTCCACTGCCTCAGCCTCTCCGACGTCGTCCGGAGGTGCCGAGCGGCCGAGGGGTCGATGTGAGGCACGCGCGCCAGGCTGAGGATGACGTACTTGACCTGCGGCCCAGCAGCGGGGAGCCCCCCTTCCGCAGGGCCCATGGGGCTCCTTTTTGGGCCCAAGCTCACTCGTCCGCCAAGTGGGCTCACTCCAGCAATGTGGTGACAGTTCGGCCCGTTCGGCCGCCGACTGGACTGGATCTCCGGTCCGCTCGGCGGCTGAACGGGCCCAGATGCTGACAGGGGTCACCTACACATCGTACACATCGTCCTCCTGCCCATCCTCATTCTCCCAATCTCCCTCCTCATCCTCCTCCTCCTCCTCCTCCTCCTCCACCTCCTCCTCCCCCGCCTCCTCCTCGTTTTCCTCGTCCTCCACCTGCACCTGCACCTCCACCTCCACCTCTTCATCATCCTCTTCCTCATCGTCATGATGTGTGCTATATATATATATGTGTGTATACGCATGCATCTAGATCTTATATGTCTGGCCATCATTAGCATCATGTGCCTCCTTATTATCCTCATCCTCCTTATCTGCTCATTGTATGGATTTGTGTTTTTATATATATATATATATGTATATATAAATTAACGTGGGCAACTATACAATGAATATACCTGTGTATCCTTTACATCCTCGTCCTCCTCCTTCTCCCCCTCCTTCTCCATCTCCTCCTCTTCGCCGTCCCACATCCTCCCACTACCAACGCTCACCCCCACTCCTCCCCCTCTTCCACCGTTATATATCATATGTCCTGGATCGAAAAAAAACACTTCAACGTGCGGGTTGCCTGACCCACTCACGGCTAGAGCCATTCAGAACAGGAGGACCCTCAGACACCTGAAAACCTTAGGAATTCTCCCAGGGACTCAGAACAAGCTTAGGACCACCCGCCTCCCCTCCCTCTCCCGCCAAATCTCCTCCGCCCTCGCACTCCTTCTCCTTCCCCTGCCTCCTCCTCCTCCTCTTCCTCGTTCCCCTTCCTCCTCCTCCTCCTCCTCCTCCTCCTCCTCCCCTCCTCTCCTCCTCCTCCTCCTCGTCCTCGTACTCCTCCTCCTCCTCCTCCTCCTCCTCCTCCTCCTCCTCCTCCTCCTCCTCCTCCTCCCCCTCCCAGCTGCCGCTCTGGCACACAGCGTGCGAGGGGCGGCCGCGGCGCAGGCGGGCGGATGGCCCGCCGTGGCGCCACGCGCATCGCGATGGCGCGGCCCGTGGGCCAGTGGATCCTGCGGGTGCTGGGGTACAACCTGGTGTTCTGCACGGGCGTTCGCCTCCAAGAGGTGGCTATGTCGTGCAGTAATATGGACGTGGTGATGCTCGCTGGCACACAGGCTACGCACAGGCGTAATGATGAAGTTCTCACTCGAAGGATCGGGAAGAGGATCGTCCTCGAGGCGGAGGCGGGCGTGGGCGAGTTTACGAACAAGAGCACAGGCTGCGCCATCGTCCTGGGCCACAAGTTCAAGGAGCAGCACGTGTGCAGGACATGGCCGAGCCCCTCGGGGGCAGCGGGCCGTGCTCTCGCGGCGAGGGTCCGTCGAGGCCCTTTGGATATGGCAGCAATTGTGTTGTACTTCCCGCCGCAGCCTCGACACGCTCGTCTGGTCCCTCATTACAAAGAGACGGTCCGTATGCTGACGCAGTGGTATGAAGGGGGTCCTGCAACAGCTACCATGCAGATGTACACCTGTGGTGTATGCGGACCTGAACGACGGCATGGGCATCAGCAGGATCTCGGGTCAGTGGCAGCATGTGGAGTCGCAGTCGATGGGACCAGGACGAGCCCGAGAGCAAAGGCGTGGTTGCGCGGGGGAAATGATGAGACTGGTGAATGAGCGCCACCATATGTACATGATGAATTCCCGCAGCCAGACGTTAGAGCACACGTTCTACAACGCGTCTGGACACAGCAGTTGCATTGACTACCTTTTCATACCCGATGGCATGATCGATATGGCACAGAAGTTCTCCCCTTTGTCCAGTCTGGGAGCGGAGCTGCAGGCCTTCAAGGGGGCCCCGCCGAAGGACCACATCCCAATCTACATGGAGCTACACGGCATGCAAGCGATCTGCACGGCGGAGACGCTGACACCATCACCAGAGAAAATGAAGTGCAATCCGGACGACCTTATGCAGTGTCTTCGACAAGGACATCGTCGAGTTGAGTTTCTTGAGAAGGTGGAAGCGCGCCTGCAGGAGACTGAGGATACTTGGAGGGCCATGCTGACCGACGGGAGACCAGATGAATTGTTTCTTCACCTTGATGATGTGCTGGTAACGATCGGGCAACAGATGTTTGGCCATGTTGTATCTAACGATCCCGCATATAGGCGTGCTGCGGCAGAGCGAACCGAGCTTCTGAAAGAACGTGCTCGACTCAGACGGTCCCGACACGACATGAACGAGGATTCCACAGAGCTGCACGAGTGTGAGGAACAGTTGAAGAGGCTCAGTCAGCGCCTCAGGCGAGAAAGGCAGCAATTCGATCAGCAACGTCGTACCGCTCTACTGGATGAGATTGAGGAGGCGTGGCAGGCCCGTCGCCTAGCGGAGGCTATGAGGCTTCCGAGGCAGGCGGCGAGGTGCCGCTTCGGACCGAAGAGACGTGACGGACGACTCTTGCGGGGGGGGCTATTTCGCAGAGCAGGAGTTGCTCGACCACTGGGGCAAGAAGGGCAGGGACGGGGGCATGTCGGCTCGGAAGATTATCTTCGAAGATTGGCTGAACGAATATCCACCTGGCCCCACTCCTTACATCACGCCTGAGGACTGCGAGCTCGCTCAGAAGGACCAGTGGAGAATCCAGAAATACTTCAAAAGTGCCAGTAAGAGACGCATGGTGCCATCGGGGACCCCGCCAGCTGAGGCATGGCTGATGTGTATGGACCCAGAGGCCAAGATGGACACCAAGGGGCAGGGAGTAGGCTACGAGCAGGTAGTCCCTGAGATGAAGCTGTTTGGGAAGATTCTGGAGGGAGGCCTACGAATAGTTAGGGCTACGAATCGGACCCCACTTCGGTGGCACATAAGTTCTGGAGCACAGCTTCGGAAAAAAAACGCCAAGCCAGGACCTGCGGGCCGCAGGGCGGTCCATGCATTGCCGACAGTGGGGGAAGCTTTTTTTTATTCAGGCCTTCTTCGGGTTCCTCCCATGGCCACGGAGCACGGCGTTTGCAAAGGTAGACGTCGTGAAGGAGCTATTGTAGTTGCACAGCTCCTCTGCTGGCGCCTTCGACGCGCTGGACGTTCGTTCGCGTTCACGTTCAAAGACATGTCCAACGCGTTCGCCAGTGGGGACTGGGGTGATCTTGATCAGACAGTAGAGCTCCACGCAGAACCTCAGGATGTAGATTTGTGTGTTCAACGTTTCCGATGCAGTGTGATCTGGCTAGGGACCATGGAGGGAGGGATGTACATCAAGACGGGGGAAGGAGGAACGATGGGAGATCCGTTTGTCGTGGAGCTCTTTCGGAGAACTTTTTCTCGACCCATCCTGCAGTGGCTTCGTCGTCTTAGAGATTTGGACAAGTCTGCTTCTGGGGTGGTGGCTAGTTGGCGAGATTTACGTGCTGACGTCGGTGGCTGCCTTTATGCCGACGACATCTTTAGAGCTCACGTGGCCCAACCTCACGGTGCCGTGGGAAGTTTTTTCGGATCCTGAAGCAAGCTGGTTTGGCCCTTTCGGAGGAATTGGAGGAGATTGGGTACGCACAAAACATCGGGAAGCAGGAGGTGCAGCTTTGCTTTCAGGGACCTGGGGCCTTACAGTGTCAACAGTGGGCGAGGGGTCAGGGTCGAAAACAACTTGCAGGAGATCTTCAGGGGCATGTGCGGTACCTGGGCCCAAACATTAATATGCTGTTATCCTCCTCAGTGGAGATTAGTCGCAGAATTCAAGCTACCGCTGAGTCGTACTATGCTTTGAGCCAGATATGGTCCCTGGAGTTGCCGCCCCGCTGGAAGCGGACTATGTTTCTGGGTTTCGTGCAGAATGCGGCGCTCACTGGACTAGAACCAATGCTGCTCACTAAGCGTCAATATCGTGAACTCGATTCGCTTCTGGCTCGTTACGGGGGAGGGCATTGCAGGGGAAGGCGACGACGAAGGTGGATGGGAAGACCCGGTCGTGGTCGAACAAGAAAGTGATGCAGCATTGGCGCCTCGCTAGTTCGGAAACGGAGTTGCTGGTCAGGCGTCTGGGGTGGTATCGTACCTGGGCCCTATCCCCGAAGAACCACAGCCAGGAGCTTTGCTTGTTGTTCGGGGTCCTGGGCCTGGACGTGGGGGGCCAACCGTTGCACGACAACACAGTTATTCCCAAAGTGGCATCTCCGTGGCCTCTTCAACTGCAGGCTGACTTTCGGCGTGCAGCAGATGCGCTCGACGAGGGCGACCTTTGTGCTCATTTTGCTCGCTGTCCAGGCGACATAGTGAATGAGGATTATCGGGTGTTCTGGACTCGTGTGGACTTTACGGAGATCCGTGCACGCGAGCTGGCAAAGGTGATCCCTCCTTCGGACCTCTACATGACAGAAAAGCAGGACACCCCAGGAGCACCTCTGGAGTTCCTTTGGGAATGCGAATGGGTTTCGGAGGTGGGGACGGTATGTGGGCACGGGTTCCAGACCAAGAGGGACCTCATGAACCATATGCGTCAAATACATCAAGTACACAATCTATCTGCTACGCTGACCCCCACAACCACATGCATAGTATGTAGACGTGTATTCGCTAGCCAGGATAACGCTTACAAGCACCTCCAGAGGGCCCTCATGAGTGGTAAATGTCCGTCACGGGGTTCGGCAACTTTCTCGGGAATTCGGCCTCCACCGTCATTGGAATGCAGAATATGCGGATATCACTCCAGCGATTTGGACAACGTATGTAGCCATTTGGTCACAAGCCACCTTCCGTGCGAGGTGGACCCGTCCATATCCCCTGCCACAGAGGCAGATTTTGGCGTATCATCTCTCCCTGGGCCAGCCGCTCATGTCGGAGATGGCGGACGAGGAGGCGCTGGAGCGTCCCGCGTGGCTGAGGGACCCGTTGTCAGGCCCTATGAGCAAAAGGGGCCGTGGTAGCGACGCAGGTGTCAGGGAGGAGGCGGGGAAGGCAGCACGAGGGCAAGACGCTCTGATCAAGCTGGTGCTCATCCTCGGCAAGCTCGTGCTCACGGACAGCCGCGCGCGGGCAGAGGTGTCGAGCACGGTGTACTGCACGTACGACATCTGCGCGGACATAGAATTCGCGGTGACGAACGAGAGCGCAGGGGCGGACCACAACGACCAGGCTCAGGAGCTCAATGCCAAGGCGGAACAAGGAGAAGCCGTCGACTTCCAGAGCAGGGGCCCTCCCTTCGTGACCATCTTCGGGACGACGAGGCACTGGGCGGCCATGCAGCACAACAAAGAAGGAGTGAAGCAAGAGCCGTGGATGGCCCCCTTTCACGAGTTCTACAAAAAGGACCACTGCAAGGCGTCGGCTGTACAAGTGGGGGAGCTGGTTCCACATTGGCAGTGGAAGCGCAACAAGAACAAGACGGAGAGCAAGCCGAAGGGCAGGTTGATCGTCGCCTTCGACACGCAGCACTCGAGGTATGCGCAGTTGATGCAGATTGTGACTGCCATGCTAGAGACGGTGAAGGCGGAGATAGTTCCTCCTCCTCCTCCTGCTCCTCCTCCTCCTCCTCCTCCTCCCTCCCGACTGAAGCCTCCCCCCAGAAGCCGTGCCCCCCTGGGAATACCTGATCGTCCGCCGACGCCGCCGCCAGCGCGGTCACCAGCTTGCTGGTGGAGCCGAAGAAGAGCTGCCCCTGCAGGTAGAGCAGCAGGATGCGGTGGCCCTCCCTGCGCAGCACCTGCCGCTCAGGAGGGGTGCCGCTTGAAGTTTTGATTGCAGGCGGTCTGCCTTTCATGTGCTCGCCCACGCTGGTTGTTCGCGGAAGGTGTTACTGCGATGCTCAGCCTGACCTATCAGTCTCATGCTGACAGGTGGCACTGCTGGCTCGGTCGGAGAATGCGTCAGAGCTGCACGCGGCGTCATCCGGGAACACGGGTCCACGACGCGGCGGAGCCGGTTGCTGCTAGGAGTGGTCCTGGCCGAAGGTGTCCCCGGCTTCACGCTCCAGGTTGAATTTCCTGCAGCCCGCTGGGCCTGGTGAGGGGTGCTCGGGAGACCAACTAGAAACAAACACGGCATAAACATAATTTCTCTGAGGTCCGCGCGGATGTCTTGGATCGGCGCTGGACCCCTCTCCCCGGCGCGCGCCCAGGGCGCCAGGGGCGGCGCCAATGGCGCGAGGAGGAGCGACACCCAGTACGCGACACCCAGTACGGCGTTTCGTGGCCCCAGAGGGAGCTCCACAGAAGGCGTCTCCAGTACGCGCCTCCCAGTACGGCGCTTCGTGGCCCCAGAGGGAGCGCCTCTGGAGGCCCCAGTGCCTGTGATCACATGCGTCCCGCGCCACCCTGTACGGCGCCTCGTGGCCCTATAGGGAACTCCACCGAAGGCCCCAGTGGCGGTGATCACATGCATCCCGCGCCACCCAGTACGGCGCCCCGTGTCCCCGTAAAGAGCTCATGTGATCACATGCGTCCCGCGCCATCCAGTACGGCGCTTCGCGGCCCCATTGGGAGCTCCACCAAAGGCCCCAGCGGCTGTACGTCCCGCGCCACCCAGTACGGCGTTTCGTGGCCCCAGAGGGAGCTCCACAGAAGGCCCCAGTGCCTGTGATCACATGCGTCCCGCGCCACCCTGTACGGCGCCTCGTGGCCCCATAAGAAGCTCCACCGAAGGCCCCAGTGGCGGTGATCACATGCATCCCGCGCCACCCAGTACGGCGCTCCGTGTCCCCATAAAGAGCTCCTGTGATCACATGTGTCCCACGCCACCCAGTCCGGCGCTTCGTGGCCCCATAGGGAGCTCCACCATAGGCCCCAGCGGCTGTGATCACATGCGTCCCGCGCCACCGAGTACGGCGCTGCGTGGCCCCAGAAGGAGCTCCTCTGAAGGCCTCAGCGGCTGTGATCACATGCGTCCCGTTCATTCAGTACGGCGCCTCGTGGCCCCATAAGGAGCTTCACTAAAGGCCCCAGTGGCGGTGATCACATGCATCCCGCGCCACCCAGTACGGCGCCCCGTGTCCCCATAAAGAGCTCCTGTGATCACATGCGTCCCGCGCCACCCAGTACGGCGCTTCGTGGCCCTATAGGGAACTCCACCAAAGGCACCAGCGGCTGTGATCACATGCGTCCCGCGCCACCCGGTATGGCGCTTCGTGGCCCCATAGTGAGCTCCTCTGAAGGCCCCAGTGCCTGTGATCACATGAGTCCCGTTCAATCCAGTACGACGACTCGTGGCCCCATAAGGAGCTCCACCAAAGGCCTCAGTGGCGGTGATCACATGCATCCCGCGCCACCGAGTACGGCGCTCCGTGTCCCCATAAAGAGCTCCACCAAAGGCCCCAGCGGCTGTGATCACATGCGTCCCGCGCCACCCAGTACGGCTCTTTGTGGCCCCATGGGGAGCTCCACCGAGGGGCCGACTGCCTGTGATCACATGCATCCCGCGCACCCCAGTACGGCGTTTCGTGACTGGGATTGGATCGGCAGTGGATCCCCTCCCTGGCGCGCGGAGCGCGTAAGGGACGGCGAGGGGGGCGCCCCCAGGGAGAGCAAGCCCAGATCCGAGAACTCTGGGCGGACCCCAGCGCCTCCGCCCGCCCTCGCCTGGGCGTCGTCGTCGTCGTCGTCGTCGTTGTCGTCGTGAGTCGTCGTCGTTGTCGTCGTGAGTCGTCGTCGTTGTCGTCGTGAGTCGTCGTCGTCGTCGTCGTCGTCGTCATCGTCGTCGTCGTCGTCGTCGTCGTCGTCGTGAGTCTTTGTCATCATCGTCGTCGGCGTCGCGAGTGGTCGTCGTCGTCGTGAGCAGTCGTGAGTCGCCGTCGTTGTCGAAGGAGACGGAGGAAGAGAGAGGAAATAGGAGGAGGAGGAGGAGGAAGAGGAGAGAGAGGAAGGAGGAGGGAGGAGGGAGGAGGAGGAAGAGGAAGGAGGAAGAATTAGGAGGAGGAGGAGATGAAGGAGGAGGAGGAGGAGTGAGGAGGAGGAGGAGGAGGACGAGGAGGAGGGAGGAGACGGGGCCGGGCGGAGGATCGAGCAGGAGGAGATGGAGGCGAAGAGAGGCGGGCGGAGGAGAGAGCGAGAGCAGAGCTGCACGCCTGCGCAGCCGCTGCTCCCTCGACGTGCGGGGGAGGGGGGGGGGGGCGGCGGAGAGCTGAGCCCTGGCCGCTTGGCGCGGCCTGCATCTCCAGGCAGGGCGCTTGGCGCGGCTGCATCTCCTCCTCCTCCTCCTCCTCTCTCCTCCTCCTCCGCCTCCTCCTCCTCCTCCCTCCTCCTCCTCCTCCTCCTCCCCCCCCCCCTCCCCCTCCCCCTCCTCCTCCTCCTCCCTCCCCTCCTCCTCCTCCTCCTCCTCCTCCTCCTCCTCCTCCGCCTTCTCCTCCTCCTCCTCCTCCTCCTCCTCCTGCTCCTCCTCCTCCTCTTCCACCTCCTCCTCCTCCACGGCCGCCGGCGCGGCCTGCATCTCCCAAAAGGGCCGCTTGGTGCGGCTCACCACCCGGTCGCCAACGACGACGCTGCTGACTGGCGAGGCGGCGCTGCTGCTCGCCAGGAACAAGGCGACGCTGAGCACGAAGCCCGTGAGGATGGCCTCGAGAGGAGCAGAGGCATCGAGAGGCGCAGAAGCTGTCAAGGTTGGGAGGCAACCAATGGGAATTCTTCGTATGAAATGCTAAGCGAAGCCACTGAGGATAACCTCGAGAGGTGCCGAGGCGCCGAGGGGCGCAGAAAATGTAAGGCTGGGAGGCAACCAATGGGAGGTCTCCGCCAGAAAGACTTAGCGAAGCCAGCGAGGACGGCCTCGAGAGGAGCCGCGGCACCGACAGGCGCAGAAGATGTAAACATGTGAAGCAACCAGTGGTAAGTCTTCGTCGGAAGGGCTGAGGAGAAGTAAGCCCCATTGTGGGGCTCTCACGCATGATCACGCCGCGGATTAAAAGCAGGACTGAACCGGATGAAAAAGCGGGACTGAGCCAGCATAACAGCGTCACGCCGGAGTAAGCCCAATTGCGGAACAGTGCAAAACCAGAAAGTGTCCCCCCAGGAGTTGCATCCGAAAGAGATGCAAGGATCCAGTGATGTGCTGCCGACCACCTCCCGTTGCGGAAGAGTCCCGACGTCAACAATATAACATCGCTCTGGCTCACTGCGGGGCCTCGCTGGGCCCTGCGACCGTCAAAGGCAACGGGGGATGAAAAACCAGTCCCGGGGAATGGGTCGAGACCTCCGCGGATCGCTGAGAAACCAACAATCACATTCCTTGTGTTTCTACTTCTATATATGTATATATATATATATATGTATATGTATGTGTGTGTGCGTAGACCTGTATACTTTCATACATGTGCCTTTGACACTCAATAGATAGAACAACCGTAATACATAATACTGATGCTCATGCGACGAAGAAAAATAAGAATACTAATAGCATCTGAGAGAGAAGAAGAAGCGAAACAAAAACCAGCGCAACACAAAAGTCAAGGGTCTGGCCCGACAGGAGCGGAGGAGGCCCCGAGGACCCCGGACGCGAGGCCGAGGCCCCGAGCGTCCCAGCCCGGGAAGGCCCTCCTCCTCCTCCTCCTACACCTGCCCCTCCTCCTCCTCCTCTCTCTCCTCCTCCTCCTCCTCCTCCTCCTTCCTCCTCCTCTCCTCCTCCGCCTCCTCCGCCTCCTCCGCCTCCTCTCCCTTCCTCTCCTCCTCCTCCTCCTCCTCCTCCTCCTCCTCCTCCTCCTCCTCCCTCCTCTCCGCCTCCTCCGCCTCCTCCGCCTCCTCCGCTCCTCGCTTCCTCCGCTCCTCCGCCTCTCCGCCTCCTCCGCCTCCTCCTCCTCCTCCGCTCCTCCGCCTCCTCCGCCTCCCCTCCTTCCGCCTCCTCCTCCTCCTCCTCCTCCTCCTCCTCCTCATCTCCTCCCCTCCTCCTCCTCCCCTCCTCCTCCTCCTCCTCCTCCTCCCTCCTCCTCCTCCTCCGCCTCCGCCTCCGCCTCCGCCTCCGCTCCGCCTCCTCCTCCTCCTCCATCCTCTCTTCCTCCTCCCCTCCTCCTCCTTCCTCCTCCTTCTCCTCTCTCCTCCTCCTCCTCCCTCCTCCTCCTCTCCTCCTCCTCCTCCTCCTCCCCCTCCTCCTCCTCTTCCTCCTCCTCCTCCTCCTCCTCCTCTCCTCCTTCTCCCCCCCCCCTTCCTCCTCTCCTCCTCCTCCTCCTCTCCTCCTCCTCCTCTCCTCCTCCTCCTCCTCCTCTTCTCCTTCCTCCTCCTCCCCTCATCCTCTCCTCCTCCTCCTCCTCCTCCTCCTCCTCCTCCGCCTCCTCTCCTCCTCCTCTTCCTCCTCCTCCTCCTCCTCCTCCTCCTCCTCCTCCTCCTCCTCCTCCTCCTCCTCCTCCTCCTCCTCCTCCCCCTCCTCCTCCTCGAGGCCTGCGCGGGCTCTGCGCGGGCCCCGGCGGACCCCACCCGAAACACTCCTTGGGCGAGCGCGCTCCAGCACTCGCAAAGGGACTATACTCGCAGATGGCCTGGATCCGCTGGGGGGGATCTGCGAGAGATTACCTCGACGCAGGCATGAGTGTTTTGGTTTCGGACGTGTGCGAGTGGGCACTATGCCAGCAATGGAACGCGCGCGGCGAACTCTGGCCAGAACGCGCGCCTCGGGCGCGGATCTCAGAAGCCGGGCGAAGGCTGGCCAGCCCGGGGCTGCCAAAACGGAGCTCCGGGAAACTGTGCTCCTTTTTTGCGGGGAGCAGCCCGCTTACTACTTGTAGCGCGTTTGAGCTTGATTCCGGGAGTTCGGGGATCTTCTGACCCGGGTCAATCCAGACCCGGGTCAGCAGGAAACCAAAAACTGCAATGCAGGGAAAAAAAACTGCAGCGCAAGTCTTCGCAAACCCGGGTCAGCCAATGCGCGCGGCCGCCCCGCGGCCACGAGCGGCTCCTTAACCCGGGTCAGCCAGAGGGGGTCCTCGCAGGATCCTGCAGGATCTGGCGCCCTGGCTGACCCCCGTTTGCACTGACCCCCGTCCCTTAGGCTCCGAGGAGTGTGTGTAGCTTTTCTTCCGGGAAGACCCTTTCGCAGCCGCGGATTTGCCAGCCTTCGCCCCGCTTCCCAGTAGGAACGAAGCGAGGCCCACGGACGTAAACTGCTGGCACTCCGCCGCCGGGCCCACGTCCCTGGCGCGCGGAGGGCGCCAGGGGCGGCGCCGCAGACGCCGCCCGGGGGGGCCAACGCGGATCCAAGAGATCCGCGCGGAGCGCAGATCGTTTATGTGTGTGGGCTTGTCTTCTTCGAATTACTGGGGGCCGATGAAAAAGGCGAGCGGGCCCCTCGAGGGGCCCTGCGGGGCCCCTTTTCGGCAACCCTCGCTGCCCCCCCCCAAAAAATATCGCTCGAGTGGGGCTGAGGGGTCGGGTCTGCAGAACATCTCAAACGGACGTCAAGGGGCGCAACCTAATTACCTGTTCGGCCAAGCTGAAATTGATGCACCACACCTGGCGTCAAGCCAAAACTTTGGATAGAAGCGAATGGTTGGACTTTGCACATCTTCGTCAGCTCAACCAGCGAGGCGTTTGACCACCTTGACGTCCCTTTTTTGGTGGCCCTGCATGGGAAGGCGATTCTTGACCCTCGGCCCTTTATCGCCCCCCAGTTGCGGGTCATCCGAAAGGCCCCCCCCGCGCCGCAGGCCTCGGGGCGGCGCGGGCAGCCACGCAAAAGTGCGGCGGAGGCTCGCTCGGGCCCATTTACCTCCTCCTCCTCCTCCTCCCCCTTCTCCTCCTCCCCCTCCTCCCCCTCCTCCTCCTCCTCCTCCTCCCCTCCTCCTCCTCCTCCTCCTCATCCTCCCCTCTCCTCCTCCTCTCCCCCTCCCCTCCTCCTCCTCCTCCTCCTCGCTCCTCCTCCTTCCTCCTCCCCCTCCTCCTCCCTTCCCCTCTCCTCCTCCTCTCTCCTCCTCCTCCTCCTCCTCCTCCTCTCTCCTCCTCCTCCTGGAACGGGCCGGTTTCGCCCGGGGCTGGTTTCGCCGGGGCTGGTTTCGCCGAGGCTGGTTTCGCCCGACGCTGGTTTCGCCGGTGCTGGTTTCGCACGCTGGTTTCGCAAGCGTTGGTTTCGCCCCGTTGGTTTCGCCCCGCTGGTTTCGCCGGGGCTGGTCTGGCCGAATCCGTTGTCGCCGCCGTCGTTGGCGTTGTCGCCGTCGCCG